CTCTTTTCTCTCAATCCTGAAAGGCTCATCACCCCCAAGATGAACAACTCTGAAATCTTTGAAGGTGTAATTTATGTGATTATTTTGTTGTTATTGAATTTATTCGAAGATAAGGAATGTAGTATCGAGCTATTCTCGGGAAGGGTTGTGTGGGGTGCGTGCTCAAGAATGCCTATACGACATTGAATGAAGTGTTTAATAATTATATAAATTCGTACATGGATGGATGGTTTAGTCATGTCCATGACTAAAAGAGGGTTATATAATGTAGTATGAAAAATCACATAATTTATAAATATTGTGATATATTTTAAAAATTATTATTTTCAAAAAAATTATTTCTGAAAGGTCCATCTTTTATTTTTATTAGAATAGACACTTCAATGTTTATTAAATAAAACTTATCTTCTCAAATTCGGACAGAAGAAAAAATTATGCAGATTCTTGTCGAATTAATCTGTGTGTCGCAAATAATTTCTCAACATTTTACTTGTTCGATTTTTTGCCTAAAATTCGAGTGTTGCTTTGTTTTATCCTCATACGAATTTCGTGTAACCCGGGGCGTTAATAGGGTCGAAATATCGTATAAGGAAAGTGAATCTACATGACTCAAAGTATATCCAAGATCATGTATACCCTGCGAAATTCGATTTCATCCTATTTTTATTAATTCAATCCAGATTATTTCTCCAAAAATTTCCCATGATCTTTGAGTTACTGAAAGAGTGAAACAAAGTCTTTGATCAAAAACTCATGATGGCAAAGAAGTTCTTGCGCTCACAATGAGAGCATGTTTTATATATTTTTTCATTGCATTTACTGAATCTTTGTCCATCTTATCCTTCTTCGGTGCTCTACATAAACTCCAATAATGGCCGGGCTTCTAACAATTCCAGCCCACAGAATGACTTAAATCTTCCTTGGGCTTGCTTCGATTATTCGACTTGAATCCACCTTGATTTGTTTTCGGGGAATCACCTTTGGCTTAATTTTCATACTCAGTATTAATCCTGCCTTCTCCTAATTTTCTCGCTAAAAATCAAATCTCTAATGGCATCAAAATTTAATTTCTCATTTCCTAATGAAGATTGTGACAATGTCTTCCCAACTTTCTAGAAGACTCTAAAGCAATATTAGGGCTTTCACATCATCGTCAAATTCAATATTCAAAGAGGCCAACTGCGACGAGATAATATTGAATTTGTTGATGTGATCGGCTACAATAGTAGTCTCCGACTTCTTAATGTTGAAGAGTTTCCGCATCCGATGAACTGTATTTGTTTCAAATGACTTCCCGTACATATCTAGCAGGTGGTTTCTTTCGGAAAATGGTACAATAGAAATTTGGTATGGGTAGTGTCTGATGTAAAATCATGCCCCTCCAATAATACATTGTTATATACTTCTAAAGCATTGTCGATATGATTTTATGATCTAAATGGAAGTCTGTAAGAAGCCCATAAGAGAATTCTCCTAATTTTTCTTTACTTCATTGCTGTTTACTTTTATAACAACCACTCTTTGACACCTAAACAAATAAGTACACATACGTCACCACAATCGCAAGGTTTGTTTACATAGATGGTTTGTTGAAGGTTTGTTTAATTTCTATTTGGATTTGTATTTTGACTTTATTTTTTGTTAAAATAGTAATTGGATAGATGTTTGTATAAGATAATATATATATATATATATATTTTAAAAAAATAGTAAATTTGAGTATACAATTTTATTGTTAAAAAATATAATTCATAATAATTTTCAAAATCAGAGTGGCGCAGCGGAAGCCTGGTGGGCCCATAACCCACAGGTCCAGGATCGAAACCTGGCTCTGATAGTAATTTTTTATTATCATATTCATAATTATTTTAATGCAAGAACTTGTATGATTAAAGCCACAAAAATATGATCGAATCCTAAAGATTTCAATTTTCTCGATTTGAAAACTACAACATGAATGTATATTATTTAAAAATATTATATACATAACAATTTCTTATTCATTATATATATTTATTTTAAATGTCTTACTTTAAGTAAATTGCTAACTCGAGAAATACACTAAAAATTATATTCCCTCTGGAGTGCAAGAACTTCAGAGCTATTTTATTGCAAGAACTTCTTTGATTAAAGGCACAAATGATATGATTAAATCCGATTATTTTAATTAAGAATATTATATACAGAATATATAAGATAAAATATATTCGATATTTAATATATTATATAAAACAACTATTTCTTATTCATTATATTATTTCAATAAAACTATTTCCCTTTTATGACTTGCTAACTCTAGAAATATGCTAAAATCATATTCCTTCTCGAGTGCAAGAACTTCGGTTAGATTTAAAGGCACAAAAGATATGATCAAGTTTGAATTATATAAATTTCTCAAAATTTCTTTACTAATAAAAATATAAGTTAAAATATATTTAATTAAATATTATATTCATAACTATTTCCTTTTTATTACATAATTTTAAATATATATTAATTTAAAAGTGTTAATAAGAACTTCTATTAAGGTTAAAGGCACATAAGATTATATCAAATGTAGAAGAGTAAGAGAAGATCAAGGTGCCAGAAGTTTGCAAGATATGAAGAACTTTGTGCTTGTCTCTGGATTACCGGACAAAAATGATAAAAGAGGATCTGCCATGTGGTGTTTACTTAGTCGACATGTGTCATCCGGCGTGTCATGCAGCAATCCTCGGCACCGGAGGATCAAATGTGACAAAAAAAATATACTTACGGGACTATTTAAATACAAGCTGCCATGTGCGCATTTCCGGAGCCATGGGACCAATTGTTCTAAAAAATTGCTTACGTGACCATTTTTATACATATTCTAGTTATGAGACTAAAATGATAAAAGAGGTCAGTTACGGAATTAAGAAAAGAATTTTCTCAAATAATTAATATTCCAAAAGTCCGTCAGGTAGCACTTACCCGGTGGACACATGTACTCCGGCGTGCCACGCAGGCATCTTCATCTCCGGAGATCAAATGTGCCAAAAGAATTCACTTACGAGACTATTTCAATACATGCTCTAGTTACGAAACTATAATGATAAGAATGATCAGTTATGAGACTAAAAAAATAGTTTATCCAATGTTATATTGTAAGTATTTTTTCAATAAATTGAGTTTTCTAATTTATTTTAATTTTAAGTTTATATATTGTGAGTGAAGTGAAAAAAAGATTTAGATCCGCCGCTGTCCGTAGATGTTGACAATTATGAATACAACATTGAAGGGGTTCACCCATTTCAAGCATGTAAAGTTTGTATTGAATAGTTGATGAAAGTGATTTGCAGTCGAGGTCTGAACATTTTTTCATTTTCTAACACAACAATTGACCTCAAAATCTGAAGCATGTAATGTTGTAGAGATCATATAGAATAAAACCATTCACTTTCATTATATAATAGCAATGTCTTATTTTGACTGAGATTGAAAATACTCCCTCCGTCCAACTAAATGTATCTATTTTATCAGTTCGCCTGTTTCACTTAAAAGTATTTATTTTTTATTATAGTAAAAATTAATTCATATATAAATACCAAAATACCTCTAATTTTTAAAAATATATTTATTTTTCTTTGTACTTGCACATACAAAAATATCAATATTGTCTTTCACATCTCTATTAACCAATAAAATATTATTATTTTAATCTATTATAAAAATATGAATGTATGCTTTGAGTCGCGAAAGTTGTTGAAGTATAAAAAAGAATTAGTATATATATTTATTCATATATATATATATATATATTTTCCCTCCATCCCAAATAAATTGAGATGGTTTTTTAGTATATCTCATCTTAATTGACATGCTTTTATTTTTAATAGTAAATTAATATCATTTAAAACATATTTAATAAATGTAAATTTATATAAAATAAACTTAAAATATATAACACTATACATCATATAATCCATCTAGTTCTCTATCTCCTCTATAAATAACTAATATTCTTTTTTATATTAAAACTTTTTACTTTTTATAAAATTTATATTATACTTATTCTTTACAAAATGATGTCCATATTTTTTATATTATATTGACATATAATTTTTAAAATATTTAAACACATATTCTAAAAAAATTTAATCATATATATGTTAATTCTTTCAAAGAACACTAAAAATAATATTCCCTCCGTCCCATTGAAATGTTACCATTTTCTATTTTCGTTCGTCCCAAAATAAGGTTACGATTTCCTAATTTAGTAATTGTACTATCTGCTTAACATAATAAATACCATTTCAATTTATAATATATTACACAAATGTCATTACTTTTATATTACACCATACTAATATACTAATATGGGTATTTTTGTTTTTTTTTTTTTTACCATAATCCAATATAATACTAATATTAAAAAATCTACGTGCAAAAAGCAAACGCCACCCTTCCAATGGGACGGAGGGAGTATCATAATTCAATATCATTTTATTCACTAAACTCCACTATCTTAAACACCTTATTACTAACCTAACCAAACGCCTCAATTGAAATGAGACAAATGGAGTATAATATAGATTAAAAAATAGTAACATTTTAATTGTTAGTAGAAGTATGTAAGATGATTTTGATATTTTTACCTTTTATACTTTATTAATAAATTATTAATTGTATGTATAATAGTATGTTTGTAATTTATATAAAAATTAGACTATTTTGGTATCAATGTGTGATTATTTAAAGATCGACAAAAATAGTAAAAATAATATTTTGAGTTGGGACGAAGAAAGTAAAAGTTATGCCGATTGAAAATTTAATAAACAAAAAACATACAAACAATCACACCGTACAAGAACCACGAAAAGCACACGGACAGATAATGCGATAATTAATTCGAAGGTTGCACTCCCATGCAGAGCAGTGCAGATTATCCCACCTCTGTCGTTTATTTGTGGATAATGCGATAATTAATTCGAAGCTTACACTCCCATACATAGCAGTGTAGATTATTCCACCTCCCTCGTTTATTTCTCATTTTCACTTTTCGCCAAGAATTTGGTTAGCCATATGGCTGACTGTTTTGGGTGCCGATTCAGATAATTCATAAAGTCGATGTACATGAGGCCATATCTCACAAGGTATCCGTTGAACCATTCGAAATTGTCACACCAAGCCCATACGAAGTATCCCTTTACGTTGACACCATCTCTAAATGAATGCAACCATTGCCAAATTAAAATCAATTAACCAATATGAAGGCTGGTGTTGATTAATTGATTAAAGAATGAATTTGATATCTGTAGTAATAACTTACTTTGTGGCTTCCAGAAGATTTCCAATATGATCGCGGAGATACTTCTCCCGGATTGGATCCTTTTTTGCCTCCTTTGCAGTGAGCTTGTAGTCGTTCTTTTCAAACGCTCCTAAAGCAATGTCAAAATCATAAAATACCATTGAAGTTACAAAGAGTTTTGGTTACTAGAGTTTTTGGAAATGGTGTTAGAATTACCATTTTCGGTTATGTATATAGCAGGGAGGTTGTACGTGGTATTGTTGTACGTATCGTTAAAGTAATTCAACAACTTGCGAATTCCCCATGGAACTATGTAAAGCGGCAATGGACCCTCAATCTGAAGCATCAGGCCATATATATAGATATCGTAAAACTGGTAATGTTACAGTAATAAAATGAATCGATCTTTATCAAAGTAGTAGTAAATGTTTATTAATCCATTAATCCCCCAACCGATCATCGAAGTAACTTACCACTGGACCTATTGGCCATCCATCTTTTTCAGCTGAGAGATGTGCAAAATTACACATACATATGTCAATTATCATTTCTAAAACACAATAAATAACAAAAGGATTAATTAGGGTTGGCAAGAGTCATGTCGAAAACTTACTTGATGATTTGATTTTCTGATCATAATCCCACTGAGGTACACCACTAGGGTTTGGATTGTCAGCTGCATAGGTGGATGAGTAATAGTTTACCCCCAAAAAGTCGAGGGAGCCTTTGAGCAGCTTCGATTCTTCTTCATTAAATGGTTCAAGATATTGAGGAGAAATATTTTCTAGCATCCTTTTTGGGTATTGACCTCCCAACAATGGCTCAACAAACCTAACATCAATTTAATTAATTGTAAGATCGATCGAGTAGACAAATTAAGATTTAAAAGAGAATTAGACAGAAGCTCACCATCCTATTTGGAAGTCTTGTGCTCTCTTGGAAGCTTCTATGTCTTCTGGTTTATCAGAATAAGGTTCATTCCATGGACCATTAACTACAATTCCAACCTCACCTTGTTGGTGTTTCTGAACATTCCATACCTTAATTCAATACTAACTCATAGTTGTTTGATATATATATTTATACATTCATTTAATTATGGACAATACCTGAAATTTGGCTCTGTAACATTCAGCTGCCTTCCCATGAGCAAGGAGGATGTGTTTCGCCGCAATGAACACATCTTGTGGCGAGGCCGTGGCTTTGCGGTTTTGAGCTAAACCTTTGGCAGGAACACCTCTGTAAAATAAGTTGATATTGATTTCAGGTTCACCGTCGCCGCCATCTTCTATAATAGGTTGCACAAGACTAGGCGGCATAAGCCCGTTAACATATCCGTAGTAACAGCTGATATATGGTTCATTAAAAGTGGCCCATTTCTTGATCCGATCTCCGAAATGCCAAAAGCAAAATTCGGCGTAGTCGTAAAAATCCTTCCTGAAATTAAACATCAAGAAAATGAATTGAGTTGGCAATTTCATAGGAAGTGTATGGCGCGACCAAATTTAATATAAAAATTCTCTCAAAAGCTTTCAAAAAATGCAATAAATCTATAAAAAAAATTCCACAACTTACACAAAGTTTTCACTCAAAAGACCACCATACTCTTTTTGCAAATAATCCGGGAGATCGAAGTGAGACAAAGTAGCGAATGGTTCAATACCTGTGTGTAATTAAAAGACAAGAATAACAAACAAGCTCAGCCAAAATATATCTACATATATATATATGTATATATATATATAGAGAGAGAGAGAGAGAGGGAGAGAGACACAGGGAAAGAGAGAGAGAGAGAGACAGACAGAGATTTGAGCCATTGGTCTGGATACACACCTTTGTCGATAAGGGAGTCTATCATTTTATTGTAGAAGTCAATTCCTTCCTGGTTAACTCCAAGGTTAATTTTTCCCTCTAATTAAGAAAATAAACACATTAAACAACAAACCTGTGAGCTAAGATTAAAATCAAGATTATGATCGACCAATTGTTTGTAGCTCATTAACTAATTGTAACTTACGAGGCAAGACTCTTGACCATGAAATCGAAAATCTATAGGCATCCAAACCCATGCTTTTCATCGTCCTAAAATCATCCTGTCAAGGCAATCAAGTTCATGAATAATTGGAACTACGATCCGTGAAAATTAGTTACATTTCTTTTGTAAACATTTAATTTATGTTGCAATTAGTAGTCGGCATTGAATTATGGTGTTAATTGTCTTCTGCATTGTATTCTATTTTAAGGTGTGTTGATTAACGTTCCGGAAGTCATCAGTGGCGGCTCTTAGTTGGAGTAGGGTGTAGCTCACGGCCTTAATAAAATAGAGTTTATATTTTAAAATATTGCCTATTATTATTATTAAATTTTAAATTTAAATTTTAACTTTTCCTTTATATTATTTATTGTTCACAACAATCCATTTTAATTTTAAAATTAAATTTTAAACTTTAAATCATATATTTTTTCTTATATCTTTTTTTTAACCTGCCTCACCCATCTTTCCAATTTAATCGCCTACACTTTTCTACTTCACACATTGCCGCACTGGGGCTAGTCACCTAGACCAAACTCATATCCCCCTCTCTTCTCTCTCTTTCACCATCCTTCAGTCATTTCTTTTTCTTTTCTTAAAACGATATAGCTACACTGTCCTTTTTAACCTCTTGTCCAGTCGATGTCAATGTGGATGATATTATTTTAAAAATATATTTTATTAATATATTTATAGAGCTTATAATTTATTTTTTCCTCAGGGCCTCAAAAAAATTCACGACGGCCATGCCAAAAGTAATAGTATCATAATTTGGACAAAATTGCAATCCAATAGAGGGAGCAACAGCAGGAACCTCATATCTGTGATACATGTCAGCAGCAACATTTCCATTGGATCCATCACCAATTTTACCTGAATTCATCAAAAGTTATGGACAGCATTACATACACACGAATACAGAGAAATGGAGAGAGAGAGAGAGAGATCAACCAGGAGTCCCAAGGGTGTGAGTATCCCAAACACTAGGGCCTCTGCCTCCTTCGGCCGCGGCTCCTTCGACCTGACAAATAAAAAAATGTTTTAATCTTGAATCCCTTATAATTTATTAAAGTCCTTTGAAGAATGATTGAGAATTATGGATGCTCCATAGCCATAGCCATAGCCACACCTGGTAAGCAGAAGTTGAAGTCCCAAAAACGAAATCCGAAGGGAAATCATTGCGACTGATGTTCGTGAATGCTTGATCCTTCGGAAAAACTGTAACATTGCCATTTGCTGCCATTGCTATCTGTATGGATTGCTTTAATCCTCAGGCTGTGAATGAAGTAGTGGAAATCAGGACTTCTATTTATAGTTGGATTCTCAAATCGACTGTTAGTACTAATTGACCCTTAGGGCAGCCGCAGACACCCAGGAAATTATAAAAGAAAAATAAAAAACTGAAGAGATTTTGGATCCGCCGAGTTTTTACTTGAAATAATCTTTTATGTGTTTGATAGCCAGAAATCGCATGCGTTAAATATACATATTATTTTCGATATTTGGTTGATTTTTTTTTCGATATTTGATTGATTTTGATTGAATTCATATATATTATTTATTTATGATTTGCAGAAGAAAAATAATAAAATAGGTAGAATTTCAAGGAAAAAAAAAGAACAAAAAGTCTCAATTGACTTGAAGAAATAATTAAAAGACCCAAACCCAATTGTTACAAAATTAAGACAATCCATAATACATGTTGCCAAGGAAGAGAACACAGTGCAGAATAGTCTCAAGAATAAATCGACCCAAGGGCAAGAAAGAGAAATATTTTTCGGTTCTTCCCATCAATCTGATCAATCTTAGGAGATGTTTATTTTTGTTATGTTTGTTCTTCTTTCACATGACTAGCTAGTAGATTATTTTTCTAGTTTATGAGTGAACGAAACAACTTTGTATGAATTTGTGATTTATATTATTTTTCTAGCTAGTACATTTGTTTTGATTTATATTATTTTTTTTAGATTTCTGATTTTAATATCTAATAATCTTTTACTTGGTTGGGTATTGCGGCCATGTATTTTGATTAGATTAAAGATTAATTGTTAAACTAAATTAGGCATCCGTAATTGTGTTTTAATTTGGTTCAAGTAGCAACTAATAGCATGCACCGTTAGGAAAGCACGGAATCAATTTTAAAAAATTCTGCATAGGTGATTGTTAAATTATATTAGGCTTTTTTAGTTCGGCTAATAAATTTTTTGTAGCGTCACTAAAGTTATGGTCTAATTAGGGAAGCAGTTGACGGGCGTATCTAAACTGTCGAAAAATTAAGGAAGAGTTGGTTATTAGGTGTGTGTCAGTAACTATATCTAATTTATTTAGAAACCAATGAAATTAACTGTTTATCGATGATCAATTTCATTCCTAAACTGGAAGCTTATTTTTATTGAATTTATCTTTTAGTCGTAGATTTTTAGTTTACTATTTTATTTTTATTTCCAACTTCTAAAAACCTCCCTTTTTATTATATCTATATATTAAACATTCGAAAATAAAACCTTTTTGAATCCCTAAAGAGACGATCTTACTTCATCTATATTACGTTATTTTTATTATGGAAGTATAAAATATTTTATATTTTTATTATTATTTTTAGGGTATCCAATTGAAAAATGTTGTTGCAAGAATAGAGTGTTTGTCTCGAAAGCATCTTTGATATTCCGCAATGCCATGTATCCCATTAATTGGGGCATATGGCATGTGAAGGGGGCGAATGTACGTGGGAGCAAGGGGGCTCCAGCCCCTCTCCCCACACCCCACCCACTTATAATTTTTAATTTTTTGTTTTTATTTTTATTTTTTTATAATATATAATAAAAAATAATAAAAAAATTAAAAAATTACAAAAAATTGATAGAATATTTATGTAAAAATTTAAATTTTGAATAATAAAAAAAATTATATTATGATAATTTTTTGATAATATAAAAATAGATATGAACAAAAAATTAATAAATAATAATTAAAAAAAAAATTCAAAAATTTCTCAACTAAATACACAGGAAATGATATTTTTAACAGTTTTTTTTTAATAAATATTTTTATTATTTATCAATTTCATATAATACAAAATTCATCTTGTAATATGCAGTTGTCAATGTAATTGATATTTTGCAAGATTTTCGAAATATGATAACTCCATTAATAAAATTATTGGATAACAAATAGATGATGATCGTTTCAAAATTTTAAAAATTAGCCCCCCTTTCATCCTGGTCTGGTTCCGCCTCTGGGCATGTGCATTGATAATATATATTTATATAATTTGTTTATATATTTTTTATTAAATATTTTATTGCAATTTTATTTTATAATATTTTTATAATTTATAAAATTTTGTATTCTACAAAAAAAAAATACTAATATTGAATATATTTTAAATTTAAATTTTAAAAACTAATATCAATGTTAAATATTTCTATTGTATTTATTGTTAATTTTGAAAAGTTTATTATCAGCCTACAATTTAACTAACATATCCTTTAAAGGATATTTGAAGAAATGTTCAATTAGGTGTTAGGATGCAAACTCAAATCCACGACAGATTTTACTAGATGAGATTTTAGATGAAGTCTAAAAACAAATTTGTGTTGACTCGATCCAAAGTGGACATTATTATATTAGTGTTGAATTGCCCGGTCCAACAATCGGTATCAGAGCCTGATTTGAAGAAGTTTGTTGGTGGAATGGACTGGATAGCATCGGACATTGATTGTGGTCATGAGAAACTCTCGGTGACTTTGTGATTGGAATCTGCGGTGGTGCCTTGAGTCGAAAGTCTTTCTAGCATTGTAATGGTCGGCTAGTGGTTCGATAGATCTGGTCAGGTGGCAGTTGATTAGTAAAATTTTGGTGAAAATTCTTTTGGTTGATGTTCGTTCCCATGTTCAATCTAATGTTCTTCAGAGCAATACCAGAATCGCGGGTGCATAACTCAAGAATGAGATATTCAGTTGTGAAGTAAAGTGATATTTAAAGTGCGCGAAACTTTTAGGATTTGTTTTTCTTTGCACTTAATTTCAATAAAAATATATTATTTCAATCTTACAAAAATCCACATAAAAAAACTATTTAAATAAAAATAGAAATCTAAAACTGGAGCACAAGAGCAAAGATAACACACTCTTAGAGTAGAATATAAAAGTTCAAAGCATTGAAAGTATTTTGTTTAGAGGAGAATAAATAGTCTTCAAGAATGTGAAAAATGATAACTTTCATACTTACAATCGAAATATCAGAAATAGATAAACACGCGTAGAATGAATTTGGAAGTAAAAAAACACATAAAATATTCATGATATCGGAGGAAAAAATGATGCAAGATTTTTAGAGAAAATTCATTTCTTATTAGACGGTGGCTACGGTGCTAACGCTATAAGTGTCAAAACTATGCTAATTAAACGTGGTCATCGGATGAAACATGTGTATAATTAAATGATCAAGATTGAATAGGATAACATCGTAATTATGAGTGAAAAGGATTTAATTATGTACTTTCATGCTTTATATAGTTTGTTTTTGTTGTATTTTTAATTGTTGTCTTGTTTCTTATATTTTTATTACATAAAATTTTATTCTCTACAAAATAATATTTATATAGTATATATTTTATTGATCTATAATGTTTAAAATATTAAATATTAAACACACATTTTAAAATTCTTTTAGTTATATATATATATTTTTAAATACCATAAAATAATATCATAATATTATAATATTATAATTAAATTATTAAACTAGTGTCTGTAACCAAATTGGTTTTCCTTCACGAGACTGTGTAGTATTATAAGTGTTGAGTTAATCGTTAAAACAATAAATTAAAATTACTTAGTATGATACTGATTAGAAAGCAATTAACAGCCTAACTCTTCACTATCTTATTAATAGCATTGGAGAAATTACAATATATATATATATAATAATTTTCTAAATTACAAGGAATCTTTCATTATTAAATAATACATGATTAATACATATACTAATATAAGGAAACTATCCAAATTAAATAATACCATACTCAAGAAAACTAACACAATTAAACAATAATAATGATAATAATAATAGAAAATAACTGTAGTAGACGCTATAATGTGGTCCAAACAGAATTATGTGGGATTCATTGTAAGTTCTTGTTGAAATTTTAGCGTATTATTAGCAGAGTCATGATGTATTTTTTATTTTTAAATTTAATTTATTGTGTGAATGTAATGTGAGATGACTATGAGATATGATGTATATGGAGAAACTTAACTAATAATAATAATAATAATAATATATAATTCCACGTGTGGTTTCATGAAATTGCACCAAATCCTCTATACTTCTAAGACTGCGTCAAACTCCCTCGTGATTTCATAAACTTTGTGTATAACCCCCTCAGCGGTCCTTATCTAACGGTATTGACCTAAATGCGCTTAAATTGCGAATAAATTTTAAAATCTCAATTTTTAAACCCTTAAAATTATAAATATATTTATTTTTTATATATTTAGCATAAAATATGGTAAAAATAAACTTTAAAACCTCAGAAAAATAACTATTTTTTTAATATATTTACTATTTTTTAGGGTAAATATTAAAATAAATAAATATATTTGTAATTTTAGGGGTTTATAAATTGAGATTCTAAAATTTATTCACAGTTTGAGTGTATTTAGGTCAAATACCGTTAAATAAGGACCACTGAGGGGTTAGACGCAAAGTTTATGAAACCACGAGGGAGATTGACGCAGTTTTAGAAGTATAGAGATTTGGTGCAATTTCATGAAACTACGGGTGGATTTTGTGCAATTTAGCTTATTTTTAATTTCAACTATGTGTTGTGTATTTTTATTTTCATTTATGTGTTGTGTGATAATCAGCATGGTACGGATTTACCATGTTTGGCACCCTAATGATCTCCTCATATATATCATTTTCATAGATCAGAATAAAGACTTTGTGGTCCAATCTTGTATGTTATCTATTCCCTTTGCATTAATTAGCTTCCAGCCTACAGAACATAAGGACAACTTCAAATAAACACGACCTGAGTTGATGATCGATGATGACACGAATTTTATATTGCATTACAAGATGAGCTTATCAAAATGAAGCCTTTAATTTCGCACATACATCAAACAATTGAACTTTTCAATAGATCCGCGTATATAATAAAGAACATGCATCCACACGTTTACGCATCTACCCGGCGATCCATGAAAATTGTGATCTTGCGGGACTGTTACACTGTTG